AAGTTCACTTTGTGCACATTTCACTATACATGCACTGAATAATCAGAAAACACAAGATTTGCACTATGCTTCGAAACGCACACAGCGGACCATGTAAATTAAGAAAAAAACCATAAACTGAAATCAAGTTAACTTTGCGATAAACATTAAAACACAATGATGAACCGACTGCAAGAATTCGAGAAGACTGATTTGCAGAAAGTGTTTCACTGTCATTAAAAAAAGTCACTACCACAATTGGCATTGCCAGAAACTCTGGCTTCGGGCAGCGCACTTCAGTCGTCTCTTGCTCTCGCAGAAGCCTGTAAAGCGGACTGCTGGTCAAGTTCATTGTCAGAAGCATAAGCAAGCGTCGGACTCAAAGTCACTGATTAGGTTGTCGATGTAGTTACCTACATAAACCAATCTTGATTAGGCAACAGGTTGTTGGAGCACGAGAATGATCTCGGAGAGCAGGGGCCCTAAACTCGTGAAACACGAACTTGGGGCCGAAGTTGAGGGAGCGCACCGATTGGACTATCGCGACGATGAGTCGGCGCTTTTGTCGCCAACATCCAATCGGCGCGCTCCCCCAACTTTCGGCTCCAACTTTGTGTTTCACGATTTTAGGGCCCCTGATAGTCTTCAAATATATCTCCAGGTATACATGCAGCAAGTTTTTCAGCCCGAACGTTTTGCACCGTAGAGTGCTTCGACGGAAGCGCCGTCTCCTTCAGTATGTGGTCAAGAGCCCCTGTCATGTACGGTTCTCGCGTCCAGTGTGTCGTCTCCCCCATATAAATCTCAGTTTCTCAAAAAGTGCCTCAATGATGTCGCTGTTAAATTTCCTAGTCAAAACGCATTAGACGCCTCTTCTTTGTAAAAACTATGCCGTCTCCGCGGCTAATTTTGTGGTGAAAAGCAGGGCCTTGTACGTTTCGTCTGTAAGATTGCCCATACTAGCGGCGACTGATTTTTTTTTTTTTCTTCACATAGCTACAGCAATCATTTTGTAGACAAAGTAGGCGGCCGTCATTCTCCTCCGTGATGTGCGTTTTGAAACTGCTTCTTTTGTATGTGGCATCGTGAATCTCGAACCACCTTCTCATTATCTTCATGAACTCAATGGTATAGAGGTAGCGTCTTTAAAGGCCTAGAGAGCAGAATAGCCGTGTGAGTGCTGTTAGAGATGATACAGCGCCGCAATGACTTGAGGTGAAAATATCTGGACAGCTCAAAGAACGTTCACCTTTTCTAGGTTTGATGGATACACGATGCTTCCTCGACAGTTTTATGGCTAATTTTACGTCATTTCCTTTTTGTGTTCTTACAGCTTTTGCGGGAATGTGCCACTGATGGCTACTGTGCCATCTGTGAGTTCACACTTTATAAACTGAGTGCGGACGTTATTCAGTGCATGGCAGGAATCAAAGCAAAAAAAAAAAAAAAAGACCTGTTCATCGTCGTGCGGGTTTTCAACTACTTTTGAGAAGAGGCGTACCCCATGAGTTTGAACATTTTGGTGCTCGGTGAGTAGTTATCGGCGACAATGCGAATAATGGCAAACCCACACGCCTCCACCGCAGAGATGACATCCTTCGTAAACTCAAAAAAGTCTTTTCCGCTCAGCTGTTTCGTGAAGGGTATCTTGTAATAGCTAGTTGCGCCATAGAGCACAGAGCATGGTACTTTGTTTGCGATAATTTCGCTTTGCGCGTCGTTTTCCGGTTTTCCTCTGTAACCGAACACCGCACCACACTTTCAATCGTAGATGCATTTAGGCTTTATAGCAGCCTCATCCACTATTACGGAAGCTGTGTGCTGATCAAGGCTTAGAAGCGACTCCTCGTAAATCAGCCTTTCGTTCATTGCACTACTCATCCCCGATGACGGTGGACCAGGGCCGACGTACCGCGCTGCAGTGTGCACTTCTGAGCAGTGTCAACAGCTCAGCTCGACCGTGATTATGCCCATTCGACGAAACAAAACAGCATATAGCAAATTCTTTGATGACTTCCTCTAGGTAAATTGTCCACTTCTGATAGCCCTCGATTTTGTGCAGAAGAAAGACTTCCCCCTCCTTCCTCTCCTTTCTCGGAATCTTCAGCAATATTTTTGACTTAGACGTTTTTTCCTCGTGATATGAGTAAATCACTTCTCTTTCTGCTGAAAGTCGCTACTGGACCATGCGCATTTGGAGCGATGGTTTGCCACCTGAGTCCGAAGCCTTCCTACAATTGAAAGATATTGGCTTGCTCGCTGTGCATCATTATTGGCTGTTTACGAACAGGCACTAGGTTTCTGATTGACGATACCTTCTTCCGGCGAGTCCAGAACACCATGCGCATGATCTTGTGGTTCTGCCTTCCACTTTGTCGGTTTCCTGAGAGGTACGGAGTCTCGAGCTACAGGACCCTTACGGAGCTTTTTTGCCTTGAAGGTAAAGTAGGGTCTTTAGGGGAAGGACACCCTTGAAGACGGTTGGGACAGCACCAGGAACCAGCTTTCTGATGATACACTCTGAGACGTAGTTGCTCTGCAGGAAATGCTTGCTGCATACTGTGGTGGACGCCGACTTGTTATTTATGATAAAATGTTCTCTGGAAATGTTCTTCTTCCACCTTGAGCACAGCTGTTCATTAACTTGAAATTGGCTAAACGACACACGTAAACTCTTTCCAGAGCGCGATTTACAAAATGGCACACAGTACCCCATCGGGACACTGTCCGAATCGCGAAGCACCGGATACCCAGACATTCACTTGTAAGGCGTACAGAAAAGTTCGTAATATTAACTCCATGTTGAATGCACCGTCGGTATAAGGCACGCGAAGTGTACGGCAGGCATGCAGGTCTCTTTCGCACAATACATTCACGCACATGTACTGATTGACAAATTTACCGCACGCGCACCATTTCTCTCCGCTTCAGCCGTGAGAACAAGCCGCAGCAAGGTCGGGCCCGCAGCGCCTTCTCGCATAAACCGGCGCCGCACCTGCTCAAAAAAAAGAAAAACATACGTACTTGCTCAGGCTGCAATGAGAGCGCCCGTACACATACTCTAGTCCAGCCGTGGTTTAGAACCCGGCCCCCCTTTTCGTCCCACTAAAATCTTACACATGCGGAATTGATAAGGTTCTCGAACCCCCCCATCCCCCCCCCCCCTCCCCCTCCGCTCTGATTTCGCCAGCGCGTGCGAATGGTCAGTAATAATAATATTCTCAATTTCAATGCGCTCGCTTTTGTACTCTGTCCACAAAGAGCTTCTCACGAGTTGGGTAGTACCGATTTATATAACGACATGATCGGTTACCGCTTGGAATCCTAAAAGACAACGAATTTATGCAGTTTCACGAAGACATAATATACATGCCCTAACACATCCACATTAGTTTTAGCCGAACCGCTAATAATGACCCTTCCTGTGAATACTACTATACCTCCCTTTTGTTTAGCTTTCATTATACACAGTAAACATCATAACACCCTTGAGGGTGTAAATGGCCTGTCCTATAGACGTTTTTCGTGTACTCTCGTCCCCAGCCAACTAAGAGGCGTATCCGTTATGGGCAACGAAAAAATATCAAAAAGTTTCAACCTGCAAATAGTAAACAAATAGAGGGGAAGCAAAACGAGAATGTCTGACGGTTACGTTTATGTCCTAAATGCCTTCTATTGGCGTGGCGACGGCAAAAAAATGTTTTCGCTCATACTGGAAGTGACGACAATTCAAGATGGCGGCGTCCTTGCGGAAAAGATCTCTAACTAACACGCTTGTTGGTGTAGCAAAACGCCCTAAGAAAAGGGCGTAATTCTTAACATCCCTAAAACGACGTTCTTCCGAACACCCTTAAATTATGGTATGATTCCAATGTACACCTTTTAGAGCGCAGCTCTTAGGTGCCCGTTTCCGGCTTGAGCGGCGTTCGCGTCGCCGTCGGCGTAACCAAGGTCACCCCAAGGTCACGTGACCCCCCAAGGTCACGTGACCCTTCCCAATGTCACTTCAAGGTCACGGACCCCACAAGGCGACCCCCACATGACCCTCCCCAAGGTCACGTGACCCCCGGGTCACGTGACCCCCAAGTCACGTGCCCCCAAGGTCACGTGACCCCCCGAGGTCGCATGACCTCTCCCAAGGTCACCCCTAGGTCACGCGACCTCCAAGGTCATGTGACCCTCCAAGGTCACGTGATCCCCGAGGTCACGTGACCCCCGAGGTCACGTGACCCCTCCCAAGGTCATCCCAAGGTCACGTGACCCCCAAGGGCACCTCAAGGTCACGTGACCCCCCAAGGTGACACCCCCGAGGTCACGTGACCCCCTCCCCCGAGGTCTGTTGAATAATTATTGCAAAAAGAAGATGTAACGAGATAAAAAAAAAACTAGACGACGACGACGAGAACGGGGGAATCAATGGTGACTCCGTCAGCAACTGGAACGAACATGTAAATATTGTACATAAACCCTTCCTTCTTAGACGAACTCGCTACATTTAATCCTCTTAATGAAGAAACGTAACATAAAAATGGTGCCGAAACCCGGGAGTAGCTGAGTCAAGGAAAGGCAAAAAAAGACTTGGAACATCCATCGTAAAACCCAACGATCACCCGAGTGGACCTACCTCAACGAAAATGGATCAACTAACGCCAGCCGCCATCGAACAACTTAAAAGGAGAAGAACCGTGATTCGATCGGCGACCACCAGTATCATTTCCGAAATCGTCACTCTTCTAGGCATGGAACCAACGTCCATCGGGGAGCTAGAAGAAATACTTAACATCTTGACACGCAACGATTCTGCGTTAAAAGAAATCGACGATCAGATTGAGAGGGCCATCATCGATGACATGCTGGAACAGGAGATGGTAAACGCAGAAGGCTACGCCGAAAGAATTAGCTCAACGAAAACAAAAGTCCTACGGAAACTAAAAGAGCATGAACGAAGGACTAACATGACGTTGGACACCTCAATGCCAGGCGCAAGTTCATGACCACCACGGCCCATCAGTCAAGAACACGCAACGGTCAAACTTCCAAAGCTAGAAATTCCAAAATTTACGGGTGACATACGGTCATGGCAAGGTTTCTGGGACCAGTTTGACGCTACAATCAACCAAAACGCCTCTCTGTCTGAAATTGACAAGCTTAAATACCTGAAAAGTTACCTTACAGCTAAAGCTGCTACAGCAATTGAGGGGTTACAACTGACAGTTGAAAACTACACCGTTGCACTGGGCCTCCTGAAAACAAGATTCGGGAAAAAAGAACTCATCGTAGAAGAACACATGTCACGATTACTGGCAGTGAGAACAGTCAGTAACTCTCACAACGTGGAGAAGCTCAGGTTGTTGTATGACGAAGTTGATACAGGAGTCCGAAGCCTTGAGGCGCTTGGTGTCTCTTCAAACACCTACGGGACACTCCTACTAACAGTCCTGCGAAAAGCTGTGCCATCAGACCTCGAACTAGAATAACACCGAGAAACAACACCGGAAGCGACAAACGAAGGCAACGAACTAAAACAGTTTTTGAACTTCTTGAAAAGCGAAATCGAAAGTCGAGAGCGGACTCAGCATGGAAACCAAAAAGTCCAACGAACTGCCAGTATGGCCAGTTCTTCAACTGGGAGGAACGAACGACCTAGACGATATCCACGTTCGACAGCTATGTTTGCGACAGGAACGAACACGAACGAAAACCAGTGCCTGTTCTGCGGATCAGCTGACCATATAACTGCCAACTGTTCGGTGCGCATGCCCCTGGACCGAAAAAAAGAAGTCCTGAAAGGGAATAGTCGTTGCTTTCGATGCACTAAACCTAACCATTGTGCGAAGAATTGCAAAAGGGCAAGGTGGCTAAAGTGTGATAATTGTTCCAGAAGACATGCAACAACGATGTGCGACCCGAATTACAATGCATTGGAAAAGCAAACTCTGAATAAGCCCTTAATAAGAAGTAACAAAGCAGTCCCTACCGGAGATGTGCTCCAGTCCTCTTTAAAGGCAACTGATAAGGAAAACAGAGGGCCTTGCCAAGTGCTTCTACAAACAGCAAAAGCGTGGGCCGAAGGAGAAAGAGACCGTGCGTTCGTTCGGCTCCTGATTGATGGTGGAAGTCAACGCACTTTTGTTAGAAAGGACATCGCGGAGAAACTTCACCTGAAGGTTCTCGGAGAGGACGACTTGAACATATTTACCTTTAGAGAAGGCGCAGCAACTGCTCCAAGAACATGTCGAAGAGTTGAACTATGGCTGCGCAATCAATACAGCAGAAAAGACGTACGCATTGAAGCTTTAGAGGTCCCACAGATTTGTGCCGACATCATTGCCGCACTACCAGAGGTAGCGCTGAGCATACCTGAAGACATGTTGATTGAGGATAGCGCTTTCAGCAACAACGAATGTGAGAAAGGCATCAGCCTTCTAATCGGAGCTGACTATTACTGGGAAGTAGTAAGCGGAAGTGTAAAGCGCTTGGAAAAAGGGCTGATGGCCGTCGACACTATCTTTGGCTGGACTCTACAAGGTCCCGTGCCCTGAACTTCGTCTACTGCTATATACTCATCGATTACAGGAGTATTGAAAGTGACTACAGCTGACGTAACTGACATATTTGCACAGCTGCGGTCATTCTGGGAACTGGAACACGTTGGGATAACTCCAAGAGAGTCGCCGACCAAAGGAAATCTACTGTTCGAAGAATTTGAGAGCAAAGTAAAATATAAAGAAGGACGTTATGAAGTTTCTCTGCCATGGAATGATCAAGTTGAAGAGCTGAACGACAACAAGGAGAGTGCAAAAAGAAGACTTAGGTCGTTAACCGCACGCCGCATGAAAAACAGAGCGTTAATGATGGACTACGACACCACCATTCGGGAATACTTTGTAAATGGCTTCGCAAAAAAAGGTCGTAAATACAAAGGAAGCCGGAAATCCCGTATATTACATGCCACATCAAACGGTTGTGCGACAAGACCGACAAACAACAGAGTTACGGGTTGTATTTGACGCGTCTTCTAGCACCGTTGGGGAACTTTCATTGAACGACGTCTTGTCCAGCGGAACAAACTTAAACCCTGACTTGATCGATCTACCGATCGCGTTTCGTACACACAACATCGCAGTAACAGCTGACATCGAGAAGGCATTTTTGCAAGTCACCTTGGCGGAGAAAGACAGAGACGCATTACGTTTCTTGTGGTATGACAGTACACCCAAAGAAGGACATCAACTACCACAAGTAGTAACGTGGAGAATGACCCGAATTCCCTTTGGGGCAACATCAAGTCCGTTTCTCCTGGCGGCCACGGTGAGACACCATTTAGACCTAATGGAAGAAGAATTTCCTCAAACCACGAAGATTTTAAAGGACCACCTGTATGTTGATGACCTGATAACGGGCGCGGAAAATTTGAAAGAAGCAGAAGTCCTCTGCAGAGAAGCAAGAGAGATAATGAAGAGGGCAGGAATGAAGCTTCGGAAGTGGAAGTCAAACATTCCAATATTATTAGAGGAATTGACGAAAGAAAGTTCCACCCAAGAGGAACTAATCGAACTGGTTGGTCCAACGAAAGTTTTAGGTGTTGGTTGGGAAACACGGACAGACATGATCAAAGTCGATCTCACTTCTCTCATGAACTTTCTGTGCTCAAGAGAGGACAGCAAACGCTTTGTGTTGCAAGCGACATCTCGCATTTTTGATCCAATGGGACTACTGGCTCCTACAAAAATACTGTAAAAATTTTGTTCAGCAGCTATGGGAGTGAGGGGTTGATTGGGATGAGCCATTACCTTCTGACCTTTACGAAGAGTGGGACGCATGGTGTAAAGACCTCACTGCACTAAAAAACATCCCGGTCCCAAGACTCATGGCTCTCAACTTCTCCAAGGACGAAACAGAAAAGGCGTTACATGTCTTTACCTGACATCGAAAGAACAAAATGGGAAGAAGGTGGCTCTAATAATGGCAAAATCGAGAGTGGCACCCCTCAAACGGTTGACTCTTCCGCGACTAGAGCTAATGGGGGCATTAATAGGCGCTCGACTGACGCAGTTCCTTACGAGCAAGTTGAAGCTAGAAGGACTTCCAATATATCTGTGGACGGACTTTACGATTGTCCTGTATGGGATTCGTGGTTCAACAACCCGGTGGAAGTTATTCGTAGCAAATCTAGTCACGGAAATCCAAGCTCTGACGGAACCAAGGAACTGGAAGCATTGCCCTGGTACAGAAAATCTAGCAGACCTCCTAACACGGGGACTTATGCCAAAGTCTCTAGTACAGAGCAAGACATGGTGGAATGGACCCATCTGGTTGCATCGCTCCGAAACATCATGGCCGAGTCAAATTCAGCATAAACCAGAAGGCAATGAATACCTCGCGGAAGAAAAGAAAGAGACTAATATACAACTCACAGTACCGCAAGATAATCAACTGGTGAGCTTGGAAGACTACAGTTCATTTATTCAGTTGATTGGGGTGACGGCGTGGATAAAACAGTTTACAAACAACGTAAAACAACAAGGCCAACGAAGTGGTCTCCTAACGAGCGAGGAAATTATAGAAGCTGAAAAATTCTGGATAAAAACAACACAGAATGAGACCTTTTCAATGGAAATGAAACTCTTGCGAGATCAACGACAAGTTCAGAAGACTTCAAAAATCAAGATGCTTAACCCAAATATAGACTGTGATGGGATCGTAAGAGTTGGTGGCCGATTGCAATTTAGAGACAACGAAGAAGAAGTGAAACATCCAATTATTTTACCTGCAGACCACCGATTCACCTTCCTTCTCATCGCTGAAGAACATCGTCGACTACTGCACGCCGGAGTTCCAAGACACGTTGACGCAAATACGTGAAACTTATTGGGTTCTAAGGGAAAGGCAAGCCGTAAGAAAGGTCATACGTCGCTGTATAACTTGCCAAAGGCAAACTTGTGCACCAGCCTCCGAGCCTGTAGCTCCAGTACCGGCAGACCGAGTATTAAGGTGCGAACCGTTTGAAAAAAACAGGGGTGGAATTTGCTGGGCCGCTTATCTGTCGACGTGACTGCGGAAGCTACAAGGTTTACATCGTCCTGGTTACCTGTACCGTGACACGTGCTGTGCACCTCGAACTGGTGAGCGACCTAACGACAATAGCCTTTTTATTGGCATTCACATGATTCGTGGCACGCATATGTATCCCGAAAACGATTTATTCCGACAATGCCTCAACGTTCAAGAGAGCAGCCAAAGACATCAAGAGATTGTTTGAATCGATAGAAGGGGGAAATGCAAACGTACTTTGCAAACCATAGAATTATATGGAAACGATCGTAGCGAGAGCTGCCTGGTGGGGTGGGTTTTGGGAGAGACTAGTGAGGTCAGTCAAGGTTTCGCTGCGTAAGGTTCTAGGCCGCAGTAGTCTGAATTTCGAAGAACTCACAACTGTCCTCACGGAGGTAGAAGCCGTAGTCAACTCCCGTCCGGTGACTTTCATTTCCACCGATGCAAAAGAACGAGAGCCTCTCACTCCAGCACACTCTCTGGTGGGACAGAAATTGACCAACCTTCCCTCCCATTAAATGCCAGAAGAAGATCAAGCAAGCCTCGAAAACTTGGCTCGAGGTTGGAAATATCGAAACACAGTTATGAATCAATTTTGGAGAAGATGGAGATCAGAATATTTGCTAGAACTGAGGTCAGCCCACATAGCTAAACCCAGCAATTCAAGCTGTGTACAAACCGGTGACCTGGGCCCGTTTGCTCGAAGCGCTAACCGCGGCTTAAGTTAGCCGCAGTACCTAGGAGAGGGAATTCGAGATCACGTGACTGGCTCGGTAGGGATGCGGGGAAACATGGCGGTGCCCCAGTGAGTGAGCGCCGCTCGCTTTGGAACTAATATGTCGTTGTAGCTGCAATATCGGGCGCGTTAGTCAGCAATGAATAATGCAGGAGGCTTTCGCTTTGCCTTACCTCACTTAAACCGTAAAGCATGGGCAATGACATCGCCGCATTTTTTAGATAGTGTTTCGATTCTGGGCATTCCTAAGCCTAAATGACCGCGATAATTGTCGGCATGGCAACGTCTTCGGAAAGCGGATTGTTGATAGCACACAAAAGCAGACGGCGTCCCGACAGACTTTTTTTCTAAATTATCCAAGCATCGCGAGGAGGACGCTGGAAGTGTAATTCTACGGTTCACGCGCGCTGGCCTTCCTCTTATAAAAGATTTGAAGTAAAAAATCACAATAAGGCTTTAACGAACGCGCGTGCAAGGCAAAATTTGTTTTATACTTTTTGCTTCAGAACGGTTACTACTGCCGACGCCAGCACGTGCGACGCGTGCAACCACAGTCGTAGCATGCACCTCGGTGCTTGGATAATTTAGAAAAAAGTATGTTGGGACGCCGTCTGCTTTTGTGTGCTATCAACAATCCGCTTTCCAAAGACGTTGCTATGCCGACAATTATCGCGTTCATTTAGGCTT